TAAATGTAAAATAAGTAAACCAGTGAAATGAAGTATACTGATACCTTGTGTAGTTTTTCGTTTCACGCCTCGCCACTGCTGCCTATGCACGAAAAGGCAATCACAGTAAAACCCATTTGCGTTATTAAACCGTATTATACATACACACGGTAAAAACTGTAATTTTAAGTTGTTTATAAATTTTAGTTTGTAACATAGAGCAGTACTAAAACAGGTTTTCTAAATCTACTACAGACGCCGCTCTCTTAAGTGGTTGATATCTAAAAATCGTATAGTGAAACCTCATAGATGTAAGTATGAATTACAGAAAAGAAATTATTTTGTTTATATACATAAAAACTTGCACTTTTCCACATTTATATGGTGAACGACTGTGGGGTGAAATTCCTTGCCTGCATCCTATAACTTGAGCCGTTTCAAGGCGAGAGTGAAAACGTATTATTTAGATGTCTGCCGCCGTTAGTTAAAAGGGCGCTTGTGAGAAAAACTCAAAACCGAGAAAATAATGTTTCGTCACTTTGGAAAAAATATATAGTAAAATTGATTAGTACACGGTGAAAAATCTTCACGATAGAAAAAAAACAAACTGTCTTCGCAATTTTACAAGAAAACAGCTGTATCCAATAGGTGCAGTCAAGAGAACATCAAGCTTGACACTTTGTACTTTGGATCGTTCTTATCGTAAGCGACATAGAGTTGGATTTAAATCTTATGTGTCAAGCTTAACGTGCTCTTGACCATGTACCTTACATAATATTTATTATATTATTATATATTAATTTTTATATCAACTGAATAAAATAGAACACGTATACCATACGATAAACATTTTTCAAACGGTTTTGATTTTGTGGTAAAAAAATAAATTGTAAAATAAAGCTGGCGTCACTACCGCCTAGGCCGCGTAACAGAACCATTTCAGTAAGAATGATCGATTCTTAAAGAAATGAAATTAAAAAATATCTAAGTACTTTTCTCTTGCGGTAACATTACCTACCTTTCCATCTAGTACAAGAAATAAAAATAGTGACAAATCCATTGACTTACAAATAAATGGACGACGGGTCTAATACAAAAACCACGAAAAAAATGTCCCAAGTCAACCTATTCGAAATTTAAATTGTTATGTCATCGCAGTATCGCGCTGTCCGTAGAACAAATGAAGACTAAAGCGGAGTGTCGCGCTCTGTATACGATTTTAGCGCCTTACAAGTGCGGACACTTTTTAGCGCGGACCCGACGTCCATATAATTGTAAGTCAATGGACAAATCGGATTTTTTTTACTGATCACGACAGTACATATAACACTTTTTTCTTGAAGTAATGTCACATGCGTACATTTCAACTACAGATATATATGCTTCTTCGTCGACCTTACCGTCACTTTGCATCAGGTGAGATTGTTCTCAAATGTGGACTTTTTTTACATTTGCCATGATGTAAAACATCTGACTGTTTGCCGGTTCGAATACAATAAAACAAAAAACTCGTACGTCATAGAGGCGAATCGTGAATGGCCACCCAGTTTACCTTCAGATGATTGAATTTGTCTTCCTAGTCGCCAACCTCGTAGGTTATAAAGGCTTATGCCTGATTTATTTGCATGTAGATGACATAAATTTGAATTATATCGCTGTCTTTATACAATAACAGGTAAAATTACAGGCACATGAGGCTTATGTCTCAGGGTGACGGGCGTAATGCTGGCCTCATTGTCATAACTAATTTATTCGACATATTTAGCGAAATTGAGTTATTAACATGCCTGGAATGAACGAAACGAGATCTACAAGCCCCTATTAGCGCTTTTTTTATATCTTATTTAGTTTTAGTTTTATTGTTGTTTTGTTTTTATACAAAAACATTTTTTTTAGGTGACAATAAGCCTTTAGGTAATAATATCTCGAAAGTCACTAAAATGCAAATGAGTTAGTGGCAGTGCCCCACAAAATCTTTGTGATTTAACACGTTCCCTGTGTAACTGGAAATCAGAAATTGACCCCTCGCGTGCAATTTTTTTATTTTGCAAATACGTTGAAATTGGTATATATTAATACATTTATAGATGAAAAATCATTTCCATAAACCCCCTTCCCATTTTCTCAATTTTCCCAAGTGCCCCACATGTGATACACGCACGTATGAGTTCTTTACTTGGTGCCACATTAATGGTGCATGCACGTACTAGTTCTTTTTTTTGTGTTTTATTTTGACAGTGATAATCTGGCAACATTGGTTAAAAAGTCATCCGATACCACATGCTAATCGTCACAATTTTTGTGGTCCATACGTGCAAGTAAATAAAGATAATCTAGCTTACATGTGCAAATTTGTTTAATGCTTAAATTTATGAAGGGCTATGCCTCATATGTGATGCACTCAGGTATCGTTTAACCTCGAAAAGCACCATATATGGTGAATGCACAGGGAACGTGTTAAAGCTTTGAGTGGCATTTCAACTGCTATAGACAGGTGTGTCGCTTACGACCAGACGCACGACTTGTTCGTCCCGTCACCTGGTATCGCAAAAAAACGCAGGAGGATCCTGATGTTTGTGGAGGAGCTCACCATATCATATCATTGTGAGCCATAAAAGATAGAGAAGTCATACTCACCGTAGGTACCACAAATATTAACAGTTTCCCAAATGCTACGAAAAAATACACCCGGGTAATTAAAAATTTAAGCACCAAACTATTTATTTATGTGCGAAGTTTATTGACAATTTGTGAATACTACAACTAAAGACACTATAGTGTAGTTAAGCGAGCAGAAATCGTGAGTGTAGTTTAGGAAATAGTTTATCGTGTCCATGCTATCTAAGTGGGTCAGGCATTATCAATATCGATTTTGTTTCACCTGCGCCAGCTGGCTTAGAGCAGGTGACTACCTCACAACATTATTTGAAATTGTAATTACAGCGTAACATATGTAAACGAATAACTATTCATTATTTTAATTTATATTTTTAAATGCAAGTTTTATCTTGTTAAATAGCACTTACAGAATAATTATTGTATCCGGAGGTGGCATCCTGGAGATCTGTCACACAGGTTAACACCTAGTACGGACTTCAGTCTCTTACCAAGGGTTTTCGTTTCTTAGTACAAATTCACGTTAGCTATTTATAAGTTTATTTATGTAAGGACCTTGATAAGAGGTCTCTCTCTTAACTTATATTTATAATTTTTTCGGTTAATATTAATAATTTTATTAACTGACTTGAAAAGAAGGAGGAGGTTCTTTATTTTACTGTATTTTTTGTCTGCATATTACGTGATTATTTCGGCATTTGTGAACCGACTTTGATGATTCTTTTTTGTTAGAAATTTAAATATTCCATCTCTAAATGTGGCAATTTTGAGGTCGGTAGTAGAGCTTGTGCAAGAGTTCGTCCAGGGAAGTATTGTTACCACTGGTGAAATTACAGGCACATGGGACTTGTCAACGTGACGGGTGCAATGCAGTCCCCTCAGATCTTTGCGATTAAAAGCTCTGAGCGTGTACCTGGTAGTAAACAACGCACCTACCCATAATAGTCGCAGTGCTGTAGTGCATTTAGAACTCGGTCATTCTTGAACAAGTATATTGTCGTGTAATTATTAAATAATATGTCACGATAAAATATTCGAATATTAAATAATATTGCACGAAAAAAACAAATATCTAAATAATAAAAATTTGCCACGGAAATTAGGTAGTGGACTAGTCCGAGAATGAACGAACTTGAAATCGCAAAGATGGAGGGACTTTCGAAAATTGCGATACAAATACTGTTTGAAATTGTATGAATAGAATGTCGTAAACAGAATAAGGTCTATTTGTTTTAATACTGATAACTTTTGGACAATGTAATTTTTTTTGTCAAACTATAAATTAAGACATCAAAAAAGCTTCAGTTTGCAATTATAACAATTAGCTCAAATATTTCTTAAGTACTGGCGTAATACAAAAGGATTAGCGCCTTATGCGTAGGCGCTGGAATCCGGCAACAATTAACGGCCACCCACTACCGGCGCGCGCGCAGCGACCGTTCCGTGAACTTGTTGCAACATTGCTCTGCCTACCGTTTTACATTATTGTTTATTATTTTGTAAATTACTAAGCTGAATAATTTTATTACCTTGCAAATCAATACAATTACTTTGGGGTGTTATTTATTAGACATATCAGCAAAGAGCAACAAGTGATTTTGAAAAGAAGGAGGTTCTTAAATCGACTGTATTTTTTTTTGTGTATGCTACGCGATTAAAACTAATTTGGAAACCGATTTTGATGATTTTATTTTGATGGAAAGAGGGTACCTCATTATTGGTCCCATTTAAATTTGAAGAAACTATTCCACCATTAAGACTGGCAAACTAGGGGATGAATACGGTTTCGCGCGCTTTCCGGTAACCGATTCCAATAAAACTTTCGGTCGTCGGTTTTTTTAAAAATAGAAACGTTATAATCTGTAAACTACACAATAAATACTAAAAAGAAATACTGCAAAATATTGGTAAAAAATGTGATTTTATTATTTCATATTTAACTATGTAAATGGTACCGATAAATATAAATATACGAGACTGGTACGGCCCATCCCACTGCAATACCAAAAACATCCAAGAAAGATAAATGTAAGGGATAACCTAAAAAAATGTCAAAACAAGACAATGATAGCGATTTTATTCATGAAACAAGGTGCGATAAAATCATTTGTGCGCAGTATATTTGCACGGAATGCGCGTAGGACGCCTGTCACCATGTTTGCGCAATCTATGGCAAAATCTCGATTTGCGCAATCGCAGCTTAGTCGGTGGCAGGCGCAGGCGATCAGCCTTTGTCACTTCACTTGCGCGATTGTTTCTTGTCCGTTTGTACTCGGTTGCCTAATTTCTATTTACATATTTCATATTAAAGTTTGTTTGTAACTATATATTTACAAGGATGAATTTTGCGAACACGTCAAAGAATTTATTTCGATGTATTTTTTTTTGTTTGTTTGAAAATAAACTTAGAACAGCATTTCACTAGCTCCCTCTAGCGAGAAAGTGAACGTAGCACAAAGTCTTTATTGTACTAGTAGGAAGTGTCTACGTAATACCAGTAGCAATTACTAGATGGCGCTATATGCAGTTTCGTGTCATTATGGAGTATATAAAACGCGGGAAAAATAATTCAAGCATCGAATTATTTGATATCATTATTATACGCAAAAAAGGAAATTAACATACCTTTATCGTCTCTTTTTTTTGGTGTTTTCAGCCACTGATGTCGCACTTTCTGCGACCAGCTGATTGGACTTTTTCTACCGCGACTTATTTCTCGAACACTGCAATAAGAAATTTCCATTTGAAAAAAATTTTGCAAGGTGTTTATGATCCAACTTTTGCGGTCCATACATCCGGAGCTTATCCCTACTTTTTCAGTACTAAAAAGATTATCTAGCAGAGTAATATCAAACAGATAGTGATAGTGATGTTTACATTTCTCTTGGGGAACTTGTTCTGCTGATTATGTAATGATGTACATGCTACGCCAAATAGGGTAATTTATTAGGTCACACCAAATGTCTACTTTTGAAAGTTTTGACTATTTTCATTATTAATGAAGCAGAAATAGTAACAGTCGTCCACGAACTTGATTCCCATTCGTTTACTTGTAATAATAATGGAAACGTAAATAACGATGAGTAAATACTTGCATGGTACTTACATAATGATCTTCTGTTCCTCATTTTTCTCCTCATCGGAAACATCAACCCAATCGTCACTCCGGTCACTCCCACTGGCGCTCACTTCGCTGCTTGGCACTTGGAAAGCGATCTCTTGCCCGTTGTAGCTAATCACAGATCTCTGCCCATAGATACTGTTCGTCTTCTGCTCACTTGACAACGTCGACTGACTAATGTTGGACACAGTGTCAAACGATAACCGTTTCTGTGCAGCTGATGTCATTTGCTTCCTCAAATTGTTCCTCAATTTCACCATACTCGGACTGTTCGGTATACTTTCGTAGCAATGCGACATAGACGTCCCATCGGCATGCTTTATCGTATCATAAATATTTTCATTATCATTGTACCCGTTGTAATCGGACGAAACAAAAGAATGTCTGTTACTGTAATTAGGGCTGATGTCCTTAGGTTTTGGCGACTGAGCAGGTATTTTCTCATATATCCGATCCGAACCTATCTTCTCGTAGCTCACAGTTGATGCTCCACTAACAGATTTTGTTATTGAATAGTTCTTGACATTATCTTTGTCGTCAGGCTGATAGTCTTCGGCGATTTGGATACCTGAGCTAGAGGTTAGACAATAAGGCTTGATGGGAGATTTGCAATACTCGTAACCGTCATCGCTATCCCCATCTCCTCGAGTTCTTTCTTCCAACTGATTATCACAGAGTTCATAGTTATGAATACTGCTTTCATCACCTTCAGGGTGGGATCTCATTTCTAAAAGACACTGGTAAATGTTATCTTTGTCACTTTGTGGAGATTCAGGTGGTGTTTGTTTAGGTATCTCTGGCAGAGGACAGTTTAATTTAGAAGATATTGAAGACCTATCGACGCTTTTAATTGGGATTACTAATACGTTGTCTTCGTCGCGAGGTTCTAATGGTTCATAATCGTCTTCCACTACAGGCACTTTCTTTGGCCTAGATGTGAATCCACGTAAAATTTCCTTGTTGTAAGCTTCGACTAAATTACTTTCAAAGTCTGAGTTGGAATCATTTTTGGTTTCACTAGTCACGATACTAACTTGCGGTTCACTTAATTCTTCTAATGTAAGAGATTCGTCACTAATTGAGATTTCTGTTGGATCTATTGAGCTCGCAATTGCAGTATCATTGGCCGTTATAATTACAAAACTGTAGTTGCTATCTGAGATTGATTTTTCGCTATCTGAGTAAATTTGCGTTGTAGACTTTCTGCGCCACAAAAAAGATTCGTTGGGCGTTATGTTCGACTCTATTTCTTGAGACACTTTTTTATCTTTGTCAATTGTTTCAGGGGGTTTAGTGGCAGGAATTGATGAGGTATCAACCGCGCCAGGAGTACTCACAGTTGCAGTGTACTCGTTAACATCCTCTTGTATTATTTCTACTGCTTTCAAAGGCAGTTTTTCTGTATGTATATAGTTTGTTTTATATTTTTTTCTATCATAAATAGGTTCTTTCTTCTTGGGAAGGTCAACTTTGTCTTTGTGTTGGTTATTAACATGCGGTTTGGGAGGTACTTCAGGCGGTTTTATACATTTAATTTTTGGAACACCATCTTTTACTACAACGTTTTTCGTTAAAGTTAAAGTAGATTTCTTTTCAGGTACTTTTGGTTTTTCTTTTACAGTTATTGTACTTTTCATGTTTTCAGGGTGTCTTTTTAGCGTGTTATTAGAAGAAGTTTGAGCGGTAATTTCACACTCAAATTTCTTTATTACATTTCTAACGTTACTTTGGTGAGCTTTTTCTTTTAATGGTTCCGAATTCTTTATTTTTGTTGGAGTGCCATCGACAGAATCTGAACCACTTTGCTGTTCGCTCGAATCCGCATACTTTAAGCGTTTTTTAGGAGACTTTGGAACTCTATTAATTCCGTCCGATTTTGATCTTATAACGCGAATTTTAGTTAAATTGCTGTCCGATACTATTAATTTATCTATTGAATCCATACTGGAGCATCTGGTGCGACTATTGCGTTTCTTGGAGCCTCTTCTTTGCCTTAAAACAATTTTAATGTTGGGACTTGAGCTGAGAGTGGAAGAAGGTGTGGAACTGTTACTAGCTGAATATTTTGATGCGGATTGCAATTCTTCTATAGTTTTTACCAATTTTGTTTGTTTCACAGTTGCATGTTGAGATTCATTTACAAGATTATTGAATTTCTTTGTTAGTTCTGCCACTTTTGTACTTGTTATAGTCATGGTTTTCGTGGCTAGCGGAGGACGTCGGTACGAGGTTGATGCGTTCTTGATTTTGAAGCTGACTTTTCTTGGTTGGGGTTCCATTTTTTTCCTAACAGGCGACATGTTAACTGGAAGAGTAGCCATTTTGTTTTTGACAATATCGGCGGCGGGTTTAGTATCCTTTCCTCCACCCGTGCTTCTCGTATCTTCGTCAGTAGTGATAGCAATTTGAGCGTAATGTAACGCAGGTTCTCTTTTCATGATGTTTGAAAGTTTAGTGGGATTTGGACTGACAGTGGAGTTTAAGAAAGCTTGTTTTGCTTCGTGGATAGATTTGGCTCGCTCGTTGACCGGAAGCTTGACAGGAATTGTGTATACGTATTTGTTATCATTTAGGTTGGTTTTTATAGCCATGTCTGGTTCAGGCAGGATGAAGTTTTTGAGCAGCGCTTTGATCGTGCCGTGTTCTTTGCCATCGCTATTGAGCCTCTTGATCGAAGATATCAGATTGTTTGTGGTTATCGTTTCCCCCTCCATTAGGTTGATAAACATTTGTAACTCTTACTGCTTTTCTACGCCATCTGGAACAATTAAAACATAAATAGTTAATGAATGTACTGGGACTTAGGTAAGCAGAAAATTACTATGTAATTTATTTACATGCAGTTTAAGCTCAATTTACATTGCCGCGGAGCGAATGAAAGCGAATTTTCGCAACACAATTCAAGCCAATTGTGCAACATACAAACTAGATACGAGTCAAAAATCAAGTCGCGTGTCTTCCGGAAAAATTTCATACGGTCTCTGGAATTCTCACAGCCACTGTATCGTAATTGTATGTTTGTTAATTTGTACGTCACTAACTATGTAAAATTTCGATAAAGAAACTCGCTGTGTAAATTGAGGTTTAGGACGCCTTCAAATTAGATGCTTGTAGAAACGCTACAGTGGCGCGAATGTAACGCTTTAGAAATGTTTAGTTCCCCTGTAACTGTCAATTGTGATCAGAATTGACTCGCACAATGCGAGTCGGATTCGCTCTGGACCTTTTGGAGGGAAAAGTGTCGTTTTTATTTTGACTTTCAATTATTTTGTGAAATCTAGTTTAAAGTGGAATAGGATAGTGCTATTGTGCCTTAATCGAAGATTAAAACGTGAAATTATACGAATCTCGAACTAAAATACCCATATCGGCCTATATTAAGGAATCCCGAGTCAATCCAAGCACGCCGCCTCAATTTGCCTATCCTCTTTGTGGCGGCCATATTTACAGCAGCATAATCTACATTCTGCTAAGCGGAAAACTCGACACTGGCGAAATCTTAAAAAGAAGGAACCGCCATTAAGCAAAACGAAGAAGAAAGAATGCGAGTCAATTCTGACTGCATAATTAAATTATAACTTTTTTATAAAAAAAAGACCTCAAACGTACGTGGAATTACATCTATTGCCAAGTTTTGTTGAAATCGGTTACCGGAAAGTGCGCGAAACCGGATTCATCCCCTAGTTTGCCACCCTTAGAGGAGGAATATTGTCTTAAAGTTTAAATGGGACCAATACTGAGGTATCTTATTTTCAACGATGAAAGAATCATCAAAACCGGTTCACAGATGCCGAGTAATCAAGTAACATACATACAAAAAAACCTCCTTTTGAAGTCGGTTAAAAAGCGGCGCGCGCATGTCACGACAATGGTGCTGCAACTGCACTTCTAAATATTGTACGAAAATTAGTAGTGACGCGGCGGCGCCTCCACAGCCTCTGGCTTCAACGTGATTAGTCAAATCTAGATTTGAGGAAGGCCCCAAAAGTAGTTCATTTACGGTCACCGTCTAGATTACACGATAGTGTTAAACACAGATTACATAATTGGTTATATGTAAGCTTAGTTCACTTAATAGCAATGATATGTGAAAGTTTGATCCGTCATGTGTCTGCAGTTTTCCACGATTCAATGGTGTATTATAATGTGTAAACGTTTTCCCATGGCTTCTAACTCTTGCACGTTTTGTAAGCCGTGGTTTTTACACGTAATATATACCTTTGGTTTAGTAGCAGTTCTTTGTGAGAGTCTAGGGGAGTACTTCCACCATACGAGGATTACTGCGTTCCGGTTTTGAAGGGTAAGGGTGCTGGCGAAATTCCAGCCACGTGAGACTTGTCATCTTATTTAAAAACGATGTTAACAAGCACAAAAAATAAATATTTAAGTAATCAAAGTTGCACGAATATGTAATATTAACATGACATTAATTATAAGTTATTATCTAGGCTCACTTAATTAACTTCCCCGTTCTTTGTTTATTGTTGCTTTTGGTCGCTGATTGTGTAGTTAAAACGTGTAGTAATGAACGTAATGTTAATAACCTGAATGATTAGAATAAAGTCCCACATTTAATAATCTAATTTCCGTAGCAGTAAGCTCCTTGTGAAAGAATTTGTCCAGGGAAGTACTGCCACCTTACTTATTTCTGCCGCCAAGCAGTAATGTCAGCATTACTGTGTTCCGGTTTTAAAGGGAAATCACAGGCACATGAGACTTGACAACTTATGTCTCAGAGTGACGGTTGTCCATCCTGTCAATTGATATTATAAAGAAAAAATCTAAGTTACGTTTCTAAGGTAGAGTTTAAATTTGACAATATTATATTTGTATACTTATTGTGGGGCAAAGTTATATCAACGTTATTAACATGAATTTTATTCACTTGTGGTGAGAGTGCGGATTGAATATCTGTCGACCTTCATGACGGAGGCGTTTTGGCCGAAGGGTTTAATACACGCCACTCAGCATTTAAACTACGACTCAATGTCGTCATTAAATTCTAATCAATCAACTGTATTGTTGTAGACTTGGTCACTTGAAATTTGATTGATGACTTTGACCAACCGTTCGCACTATGGTCTCCGCAGGAGGAGAACTCGGGCTCGATCCTTCAAATTGATTCTGGTTTGGGTGTTGTCCTGGAGTAGTGTTACCATTTGTCTGGACAATGATAATCAGGGTATTAGTATTCAGAATAAAAAGTAAATTCCACCTCGCAATAATGTAGTGCAACTCGATTTACGGCAAAAATTTTGTTGTCCGGGGCTTCTCCCATCTTGGCTACTGCGTGAGAGACACTTTCGATTATACTATATAAATTAGTAACAAATAAAACCGGATTACTAAAAAAGTTAAAACAGGTCATAAATATAAAAATTAATATGTACAATAAGCCACCAGTTAGTGTATCTGATTTATAAATAGCGGCATTCAAGCAAACACTGAAACTTTATTACGAAAATCAAGATTTTTATAAGCATGTATGGATTTAAATATACCTAAATGAATATTCATTTTCTTAAAAAAAATTATGATGTTAAGCACTCTGTACTATTATGTAAGTACACCTGTATAATTTAAGTTTGTATTTTCTGTAATTTGACTTACCTACCTATTAGGCAATGTCATTGGCAATGTACTGTATTTGGTGAATAAATCTTTTGACTTTTACTTATATTTTGTTATCAAAAAGTCCGGACTCTTTGCAATAGCTAGGATTTTAGTCCGGACTGTTCAAATTTCGGAATGGTAACCCTATCCCGGAGTGAATTCCGTTGCTCTGCTATGTATAGCGCATTTCTTACTTTAAATGCATGCTATATCATAACCTACCTACAGAGTACTAAAAAACCGACCTCAAAAATCATTCATCCCCTAGTTTACCTTTAGAGAAGGAATATTTTCTTCAAAATAATCAAAATCGGTTCACCAATGCCGAAGAAATCGCGTAACATACATACAAAAAAAACATACAGTCGAATAGAGAACCTCCTCCCTTTTCTAAGTCGGTTAAAAAGTAAAATGAGAATTATACGATCTTATATAAAATAATTACAATAACACTTTCATATTAGCTACAATTTTCAGCGAATAAATATCTTGAATTTATTAGTGTGGCTGTCTGCCACGTTATTATTATCGTGTTATTTGTGTTTAAAAAATCTCGCTGAACATAACAGGAAAAATTAATCTAATGAAGCACCTATATGCTTTGCGTCATTAAAAGGAAAATATGAACAAATTGTTTCACAATGAACAATAGTAGGGTTGTGATTCAAACATCAAGAAAGGTGTTATTTCAATTACGCACATAAAATAACGCAATTCGAAACGAAACCATAATGGCTAAATATGGCATAAAAGCTATGGAGTGCAATTCCCTGCCTGCAGACTTAACTTGGGCCTTTTGAAGGCGAGAGTGAATATTTTTAGTTTAGGCATTATTTAGGTGTGCATCCTCTATTACGGACCTCGTTATGCGACCCTATTAAAAAAAACATAATGAAGCAAAATTCGAAATTATGAAGATATTGATTTTCTATGGTGATTCATATGTAGTTTTATCTCTTTAATTTTTGACTAAAAATGACAAACAATGAGAACACAAAATAAACGGGAAGAAAAGTCTTTGGGAAAACGATTTGGTAGGATTTTGGATACGTCTGAAATACGAACACATGCCACGACATTGCCAGCGGTGGCATTTTGTAATTCCAATTAATTTATTTTTTTATAATATCAAGTGACGGAACAGACAAGTCGTACGCCTGATGGTAAGCTAGTTTATAAATAATATCAAGTTTGGGACGACGTCATTTTAACAATTATCACTTAAAACTCTGTAATAAAGTAAGCACATAATATAGACTAGAATGTTATTACGTAAAAAAATATTATTGAGAGAGGTGCGTGCGTCCGACGTGGAGAGATTGTGAGATGGCATTTTTATAAAGAAAATATTTTCCAAACGCTTCTGATTAATGGCCTATATATGAATATGAAGAAAGTAATTAATTATTAGAGGTCAGAATAGGACGATATATTTACCTATACCTATATGTACTATGTCAATATTACACATACAGTGTGACATTCTTTATTTGACAAACCACGATAAAAAACCTCATGTTCCCGTATACTTAGCATGGTGCAGATGATTTTGATGTTTAAGGCGCTTTCAAATTAGACGCTTCTAGAATTGTTGCAGTGTAGTTATACTAATGTATGTAATGTAAGTAAGCAAGTAATTGTATAATTGCTCCTTAAAATATTGTGATAATTAAATAAAAAAACCCGTAGATTGAATAAAAATTACGAATACGGAACTTTACAGATAAACAAAAAAGATAGACGACTCAAGTGGCGCAACAGTTTGCACTGTCGTCGTTGGATGTGGAGGTTCTGGATTCGATTCCCGGTAGAATCAAACAGGGCAATGAACTTTTCTAAATTGGTTCTGATCTGGATGTCATGGGTAGTGCCCCAGAGTATTCTCGTACACATAGTACAAGGGATTCCCCAGTTTGAGACGATTTTTTTTTCATGACCGTGGATACAAGTCCTTCAATCGAAATATTAGAGACAATAAACGTAGAAATTAATAGAAAAAAATAGCTCAATAATAATCATAAACAAAATTCATGAAATTTTTTCTATAGTATTTACGATGAGTTTAAATAAGAAGTAAACTGGGTTTGGTAGTAAATTTTAGACACGGCGGGGAACGTTTAGTTTGATGCGAGGTAATTTGATTGG